GCCTTGACCTCATCCCCATTTCAGAGAGTGAAACCCTAATAGAGAGTCCTCCTTCGTTTCTAGCTAGTGTATTGGTATTCTAAGCTTCAAAGTGTCATTTCTAGGTGGTGGAACAGAAGAAGAGGCCATTTTGTAGGCTAGGAGTTGTAGACAAGTGTAGATCCGAGCTTTTCAGAGGTTGGAGCTTCTTCCTGAGGTAAAAAGCTCAAAACTTGACTTGTCATTTGTGTGGTGTGCTTCTTGGACCAATTTCTAGGGTTTTTAGTCCCAAGATGGAGACTTTATGAGCAAATGGTCTCCATTGGCTTAGATCTATCATATTTCAGGACTATAAGTGTTGTATATTCATAAAAATGCAATTTTGGATGTGGATATTGAGCTATGCATGAGATCTAGACCTTTTGAGGAGGAAGGAAAAGTGTTAGAGGGTGTAAGGACTTTTACAGCCATGCAAAGGCTTAAAGGTTCTGACTTTATAAGATAAGAGGTCTAGAAAGAGTCAGATCTGGAAGTTGAATGAGTGTCATAACCGTTTAAGACCAAAAACCAAGGAAAAGTTGAAACTGAGACTTACGTTGGGCGTAACTCTCAGTACGCGTAGCGTAAGGGGTTGAGACCCCGTTTGTGACTCGTCGGCGTACGCCCCGCGTACAGAGAAGGTACATGCCACCTACTGCTTTCTGTTGACTTCCGTTGACTTTTAGGGTTTTGGTCAACCCTTGGATTTTTAGGATCAGGGAGGGTAAAATAGTCTTTTACTCATCTGTGGAATTGTAGAGTGGAGTTAATCTAGCCTTTGAGAGCCATTATTTATTTGAGGAGTGTTGTTTTGTGTTTAGTCGGGGGGCTAGATCCGTGTGTTCGAGTGTGAGATTATCTGAGATACCCGAGGTGAGTCTTCTCACTATACTTTACCTAGAGTGGTAATTAGAGTTATGTGACAAAGTATTTTGTATGTTATTTATATGATGTGATACACTGCATTATTTCTATTTGATTTATGATATGTATGTTTCAGAGTTTATAGAGTTAGAACCGGAAGGTTCATAGAGTTAGGACCAGAGGGTCCACAGAGTTATAGCCTCGAGCGGCTAATATGTGTTATATGTGGTATTTTGGGGAACTCACTAAGCATTTATGCTTACAGTGTTGTGTTGTGTGTTTCAGGCACCAGTGAGGATCGTGGGAAGGCTCCGACATGATCAGTACACACGCGAGGAGTTTTTTTATATTATGATCTTGGGATGTGTTCTATGCATGTTATATGATACAATGACATTTTTATAATATTTATGAATCAAAGTATGTTTAGAAAATGTAAAAATTGTTTTGAAATTTTTTTTGGGTGTCACAAACATATTACATAAGTTTCATCAAAAGTCATGGGCTCCATTAGTGGTCTAAGAGATTCCGAGTATTTTAATGAATTTATTAGAAAGTTGCGAACTATAGTATAGTATTAATAAATTCGAAATTACTTGTTTGCTTATATATGTGAAAATTGAAGTTGAAATATTGAGAAAAGATAAAAAAAAAATGGAAAAAGTTGTGAAAAAAAAAAGTGAAAAAGAGAAAATGTTTCGTAAAAGGGAAGTTATAAAAATAAAGTCTAGATATATTTTGGGACCATTATATTTTATAGTGTTTTCTTTTTAAGTGATGTCGCTTGGAAGCTTGGTTATAACTTTTGAAACAACGGGTGTAATAAAAGGGTGTAAATAGAAGGAATGTGAAAATAAATGTTTTTCAAAATGAATGGGAAGCGTTTATGTGAAAAGTGAGTATTTAGGGTTTGGAAAGTAATTAGGATTAAACACAAATTTATGCATTAGTGTAAGACATAATTAGTAAGTTCAAGTTCGGTTATTTTATGTGATATTAGTGATCAAGGATGTGATGTGTGGTATTAGAATGGACTAAAAATCAGTTTCTCTTGGGGACAATCAAAAGACAATGTGCGGTATTTTTGATTTTGCTCAATTTATTAATATAATTCATGCAATATCTTGATATTTTAGCTACATTTGGTCTTAATTATAGATAAAAGGTGTATCGTCAAACAAATAGGTAATTACTATCTCTGTATTGTCAAACAAATAGGTACATTTTCCTAATTATATGTGTAGTAGTTTTAATGGATAATAAGTGCAACATATAAATATAAAACAAATATAAGAAATACACATAAGGCTCCTATACCATTTAGTCATCAAGAGTGAGTCTTCTAAGTTCTTGGATCCAGTGTCGATCCACCATCAACCCCTCAACAATGAGTATTCTAGGTTATCACTTGTAGTGTTGATCCACCATAAACTCCTTAAACATAGAATATCAACAACATATCATATAATCCAACAATCAACATACTATAATACATATACATCATATAATGAAAAGGATATATATATATATATATATATATATATATATATATATATATATTGTAAGATATAGTATAGTGATGTAACTCACCTAAAGTAAAAAGTTGAAGAATCAGAGCTATACACACATATTCGTAAGAACCGATGTCACGAACCACCTAGATCATCATTACATATAACTTAGTGTCCTAAACCAACACAGGTTTAATCCTTAGTCCAAAACCCTAAATTCATCCAAGTTTGACCAAAATTCACACTATTCAACAATTCAACAGTTACAATTTAAGCCCAATGTAGCTTAACCTTCATTAAGCGTAGCACTAAATGATAAAACATGCATGGAACTCCTACGGGATGTCCAACGTAGCAAGGATATTCACCAAACATAGAAAGGCTAGATCTAAAACTTCATTAAGTCCTTAACCCACTAAGGCAAATGCTCAAACTTCCATATCTCACTAATTTAAGATGTTGTTTGTTTTTTTCATGCAGATCTGCATGACCATCTCTGTCAGCATCGCACAGACCAACAACAAATATATGTCATCATAGACTGTTTGTTTTTCGGAAGTGTGCAGTCCTAAAAACATACTCGCGACGTCTTCTTGGCATAGACATTGAACAATGTCTTCTAAGGTCTTCACAAGCACTCTATACCTAAAAAAACACATTTTATTTTTCTCTTTCAGAATCAGTGCCTCCACCATCACCATTCACCATGGATGTCTCCCTCCACCAGTCTTCTTCAATGTCTTGTCTCCTATGTGTGTAGTTGCCATCCAAATTGAACCATTGTTGTCTTACTTATTTTGTCCGATTTTGCTTAAGTTGGTTCTTGCCGCCAGCCACCTCGACTTCATCGGACTCAGGCCTAAGCTCACTGCCCTCTTCCCGCCGCATATTTCATTCCAACCTTTGCCCCCTCCCTGCCAGGTACGTGCTTTCAACTATTCTAGGGTTCATGAAATCATATTTTCTATGGTTTTTTTCTAGGGATAATGAAATTATCTTTTCTAGGGTTCATGAAAACAAATGATGTTAATTTTTGATGCAAACCTGAAATCAGATGCCTTTCTTTTATGTAAATCGAAATCAGATGCATCTTGATAATTGTCTTTTGCTGAAATGCCCTTTTATATGCAATGATACAAAACCAAATGACCTAAACTGATAATAAAAAAACAAACCAACCTAATACTACTAGATTTCACGATAAATAAATAAAAAAATAATAAACAAAAATATATGTATAAAATACTAACCTGGTTGTTATTCGAAGCCCCCCATCAAATAGAATTTTATAGTTGAGCAAACCAAAAGATAACCTAAAATGCTTTTTTGAACTCTACATAATATGAGCTGATATGCAGCGAAATAATAGGTGGACCGCGAAATTGAAGCTCATTCAATGAAACGATAGTCAACCTACCGAGTCAAACAACCAAACCGAAGACAGTGCAAAAAGTAGCAGGCGAGCTAACTCGTCTGCGGTTTCGGTGACTATTTTAAAAAATCCAAAAATTTGGCTATTTTTTTTAAAGGTAATTATTTAAAAGGATATATTTGTAATTCTCTCTCTCTCTCTCTCTCTATATATATATATATATATATATATATATATATATATATATATATATATATATATATATATATATATATATATATATATATGACCACATTAAATTGTTTGTGATTTTGGCGTTTTTGTCCGACTAATTAAAAACAGTCATGAGTTTATAACATAAACCACTATTATAAAACCGATATATAAAAATAAAATAGTCAGAAAAATACTCATTATAAGCTAAAAGTCAACAATAATAAATATATATTTTTTATAAGTTCTTAAAATTATGTCCATGTCTAATATATTAAAATATTTTTATAATTATATTATTATTAATATCGTCTAAAGCACTTTTTTTTTTTTTTTAAATATGATCATTTAGAGATTATGTTAGAAATATTTTATAATACGTAGTTAAGTATTTTGTCTATGAAGATACAAACAATGACTTTTATAAGTCTTGATTTGTATTAATTTTTTTGCCAAACAAACAAGATATGTGACTAATACAATTCTAGATAGGTAATTAAGTATTTCGGCTAAGATAAGATGGCCTTCAAAAGTCTTGATTAGAATTTAAATCTTGCCAAAGAAATTAAGCAAGTCCTTCATTAAAATTTTAATTTTAGGTAGGTCTCAAATAAATTTTATTATATACTACTATGGGTAGGGTAAAATGATCCACTTGACACCATATAAACTCTTTACTTATTAAGAATGCATACCAGTCACAATTTTAAGAGATTCTTTTACATTTTTGCTACTTTCATGGTTTATCTGAATCATTTAACGAACACCAATATTTTATTCCATCAATCACAATGTAACTTTGCTTCTTTGATTCAAACTACGCCTTTTTATATAAATTTAGATGTGCATCCTACCAAGAATTATTGCCACGTTTAGGAATTAAATTTGGCTGTTTATTTAAGTTATTGATGGTATAATGAAATTATAATAAAAGTCACAGAGTACATGCTATACGGTCTATCTGTCAAGCTACTTAGTAATACTTGTCTGTTGTAGATCAAATGTCTTTTCTTTTACAATCTCAACATATCTTCTCCTATTAATTGTTATTATAAGCCGCACCAAAAAATAACTCCATCCAAACTCACTTCTGGATTTAATTTAGCGACAATGGAGTATCTCTTGGTCACCTTCGCACTACTTGTAGCTTCATTTATCTTCATCTTCTCCTCCTACTTCCGTCGCAAAATTTCCAACCTTTCGCTTCCGCCGACTGTCTTTCCAACCCTCCCGGTAATCGGCCACCTCCACCTTTTGAAGAAACCCCTGTACAGGACATTGACCACAATCTCCGCCAAACACGGCCAAATCCTGCTCATCCGCTTTGGATCCCGCCGCGTTCTACTGGTGTCCTCCCCAACCGCCGCCGAAGAATGTTTCACTAAGAACGACGTCATCTTCGCCAACCGCCCTCGCTTTCTTGCTGGCAAAATTCTTGGCGACAATTACACCAGCATAGGTTGGGCACCATACGGCGACCACTGGCGCAACCTTCGCCGGATCTCCTCCATCGAGATCTTCTCCCCTCATCGCCTTAATGAGTTCCATGACATACGCGCTGATGAAGGAAGACTTCTGATACGTAAGTTGATCTCTGAATGTTCTTCGCCGGTAAACTTCAAGTCGGTTTTGCAGGAGATGACGCTGAACGTGTTGATGAGGATGATATCCGGGAAGAGATATTTCGGCGGAGATATGAAGGAGGAAGGCAAACAGTTCCAGGAGATAATTAAGGAGGCTGTTCTCCTGTCGGATACTTCGAATTTAGGGGATCACATGCCCCTCATGAGATGGTTTGGAATGAAAGAGTTGGAACGGAAGATGATTATATTGCAGAAAAAGAGAGATGCTTTCCTTCAAGGGTTGATCGAACAACATCGAACAGTAGATGGGATTGAACCCAAAAACAAGAAGAAGAACACAATGATTGAAGTTCTATTGCAGCTACAAAAAACTGATCCGGATTACTACACTGATGAAGTTATTAGAAGCTTTGTGCTGGTAAAAGTAACAGACTCCCTACAACTTTACACTAGATTTATGAAACTAGCTATTATACATTTTTGAACATGATATATCTGCTATATATATGTAATATGTTTCTGGAAATCCTTTACAAACTCTGGTTCTTGTTGACGATTAGAATCTGTTATCAGCTGGAACTGATACTTCTGGCACGACTATGGAATGGGCTCTTTCCCTTTTGCTCAACCATCCACATGTTATAAAGAAGGCACAAAAGGAAATAGATAGTCATCTGGGGAAAAGCCGTCTTGTTGATGAATCAGACATGAGCAGCTTACCTTATATTCGTTGTATTGTGAACGAGACTTTGCGTATGTATCCTCCACTCCCATTACTAGTACCTCATGAGTCATCCGACGATTGTGTGGTCGGAGGCTATCATATCCCACGTGGGACCATGCTACTAGTCAATCAATGGGGGATGCATCATGACCCCGACCTGTGGAATGACCCTGAAAGGTTTCAACCAGAAAGGTTCGAGAGCTTAGAAAGTACAAAAGATGGGTTTAGATTCATGCCGTTTGGGTCTGGAAGGAGAAGTTGTCCAGGAGAAGGCTTGGCGTTGCGTATGGTTGGGTTGACGTTAGGGTTGCTAATACAGTGTTTCGATTGGGAAAGGATTAGTGAAGAGATGGTTGACATGAGAGAAGGTCCTGGGCTCACCATGCCCAAGGTTCAACCTTTAGTAGCCAAGTGTAGACCACGTCCGATAACACACAATCTAATAGCTTTAAACATGTAAACTTATATAAAGCAGGTTTTGCTTGGCATGTAAGTGAACTGGCTTTAAAATTGTATTGTGAAAAAAGCTTTGGGAAAATAACTTAAAATAACAAGGAAGTTTTTAACTCGTTCACAAAACTCAATTATGTTTTGATCGTTCAATGAAGACCAATGAAATTAACGTTTTGTCTAAAAAGTTAAACTAAGCTACGATTTTTTTTCCAGTTTACATTAAAGCGGCCGACATCGTTAGGTGAACATTGAGTTGGCAAATAAATGTTGAGTTGATATATGTACTTGGCATTAATGACCTATCTACTTAGCATTAAATGAAAATTTCATACTTTAAATCGATTTAGGGCACAATGATACCATTGGTACGTCTACTCTTGTGATCAATGGAGTTCTTCAACTCTCATGGGTTCTCCATCTCAATCATTCAACTCCTGCTCAAGCTTAAAATTTTCGAAGAGAAAAAGCGTAATTTAAGGTTTGCCCTAACTCTTTGGTAAGTGTATCTAAAAACTTGTTCTTGTTTTCTTCTACATATTGTTTGTTTATGTTAATTGTTAACTGACTATTAAGGATCCAAAGAAGGAAAAATGTGATTTCTGGGAATGGATTGATGAAGATAAAGAAAATATAACTAAGAACAAGAATAAGAAAGATGAAGAACATGAACATTCTTTTTAAGTGAAGATTGCAATATTGGAATACGATTTCAGTGTTTACAAGTTGAAGACTGATAAGGAGTGTAAGAATTTTAGAAAGGAATTGGATAAAATGAAATGTTTGGTATTGAAATGTTTTGTATTAAACTCATGTATTGTTGGTACGAAGTGGGAATTAAAAAGAATGTGTGTATGTAGGATGTTACCTGTAATACAATTTTATAGCAGCAAGGAAAATGGTCTGTAAAATGAGTAGGAATAATGAGACTGTAACGATCCGTCTCTGGTATGTTGCTTTTATATTATTTATTTTAGAAGTTGTAGAGGGACTCGACGAGTCTATGGCCCGACTCGTCGAGTAGAGTCGTGATCTTAGGCAGCGTATAGATCGGCGACTCGGCGAGTCGGCCTGCCAGGTAGAAACCCTAAATCTTCGGGTTTGCACCCTATTTAAACCATCTTATGAGCCCCCAAACTCGTCCCCTTCACCCTCAAAGCATTATTTAGCAAACCCTAACCATTCCATTGAGTATTTGAGCATTCCTTGTGTAAATCTTGAAGTTTTGAAGAGAAGAAGGAGGCTAGATCCAAAGGAGAAGAAGAAGAACCAAGTTTTTGCACCCATTTCATAGTACTTTGAGCCAGGGAGATACCGGAGCAGCAGCAGATAGCTTCCAGAGCTATACACTCAGCATCCAGATCACGAGGTGAGTTTCCTTCCAGTAGGAATGGGTCTAAGGCCACAATGCCGGCTCGTATAGCTAGTAGTAGTTTCCGGACTTCGGTCCGATGCAGATTCTATTATGTTTGATGCCTCCGTGGCTCAGACAGGATTTATGTGTTATGTGTTCCGGGTTACAGCCCGATGCAGTATGCTGTTTATGTGTTCATGCTAGTTGATATGTTTATGCTATGCTATGATCAGTAGTTCCGGACATCTATCCGATGCAGATTCTATTATGTTTGATGCCTCCGTGGCTCAGACAGGATTTATGTGTTATGTGTTCCAAGTTACAGCCCGATGCAGTATGCTATTTATGTGTTCATGCTAGTTGATATGTTTATGCTATGCTATGATCAGTAGTTCCGGACTTCTGTCCGATGCAGTCAGTTCCGGACTTCTGTCCGATGCAGTCAGTTCCGGACTTCGGTCCGATGCAGTTAGTTCCGGACTTTGGTTCGATGCAGGAGGCAAGGCCTTAGTAGTTCCAGACTTCGGTCCGATGCAGAGGGCAAGGCCCTGGCTAGTTCCGGACTTCGGTCTGATGCAGTTTCCAGATTTCGGTCTGATGCAGTGGGCAAGGCCCAGTATGTGTTTACCTGTATTGTATGGTATGTGGTAGTTTAGGGGAGCTCACTAAACTTCGTGCTTACAGTTTCAGTTTTGGTTTCAGGTACTTCCGCAAGCAAATGGAAGAGCTCGGGTTGATGGCATCGCATACACCACAGTTTCAGTTGTCCTGGGAGATGTTTCTAGTTTTTCATAAATGTGATTGATACAGTTTTGATATAATTCTACATAACTATTAGTTACTGTTTTGAAATATTGAAGTATGAGTTTTACTTTGTGATATTATTTTAGTACTTTTAGTAATTGTTAAACAAAAAATTTTGTGTCATATTTTGGGATGTTTCAGAGACCATCTAGTAGTTGTAGGATGTACATAGAAGTTGGACAATCCAACCCCTTCATGAAAGAGCTAAATTAGTTTCAAAAATAGCATTGTACTTTTATTGAATACATTGGTAATCTATTTTCATACGATCTTTAAAAATCAAAAGAATAGCATTGTACTTTTATTAAAAGATAACAAGAGGATTATAATGCCATACTGACCTAATTTCTGAAGAAGAGAGGCAAAATAGTAAAAAAAAAAAAAAAAAAAAAAAAAAAAAGGAGTAAATTGGTACCAGGAGGGGTAAAATGGTCCATAAACTATTTTGTAACACAGTTTTAACAACAGTGGCAAGATGGCCCATAAAACAGTTTTTTAATAAAATTTTGATAGTTTTATAGTAATTTTTGGACAATTTTACACAGTTTTAAAACCAAGGGTAAAATGGTCAAATTTCGACTGTTTTACACAGTTTTCTATGTTTTAAAACAATTTACACAATTTTATATGTTTTAAAACAGTTCCACACTAAAAAAAAAAAAAAAAAAAAAAAGAACACAATATGCTTAAAAACTATATAAATATTAAACATATTTAAACCAATATTCAACCATGTACATATGACACTAAATGTTCTTCAATATGCACAACACCAAAAGACAAGTGTAAGCACCATAATATGTGCACTAGGAACCAAAAGATATGTCATTGCACAATATTTGATATAATCTTAATAGAAAACAACTACCCTAGTTTAAAGTGACTGGATTTTCATGAGTTTCCCCACTCCGATCTTTTGTTACCACCTTCTTCCTCAACTTCAGTTTCGTGAACCTCTCAGAAGGTAATTGCCTCTTGTTGGAAACAAAATAATAAATAAAAGAAGTAGCTTCATTGTTATCAAAAACAACTTCATGGTGATCCACAATGTCTTGAACATCAATTTCATGTATAAGAGCTTCGTGGTGATCAACAACATCTTGAACATCAACTTTATGTCCAAAAACTTCTTAGTGATCAAGAGGTCCTTCAATATTAACTTCAGTACGTACTTGATGCCCAATAGCTTCTCACCATCTTCTTGAACATCAACTTCATGCCCCATAGCTTCTTAACCATAGCTCCAATATCAAATTCATGCCCCATAGCTTCTTTACGATCTTCGCTAACATTAACATTACTTTCAACTTCATGCCCCAAAGCTTCTTAACCATCTTCGTGAACATCAACATCACTTTCAACTTTATCGCCAAAAGCTTCTTCACCATCATTTTGAACATCAACATCACTTTCAACTTGATCCCCAAAAGCTTCTTCACCATCTTCTTGAACATCAACATCACTTTCAAATTTATCTCCATCACCTTCTTCAGTAACAGGTGGTTCCTCATTGTGCACATGAGTTGCTGCATTTTTAAAACAAATAAATTTATTATTATACAAATGTAGATGAATATACAATGAAAATACAAATCAACCTTCTATGATGTGACAACCTGAAATTTATTCCGTCACTGTAACCCGTTTCCATTAATAAAACCCGTTTGTATTTCAATTTTTCCGTTAACTTTTGGATTAAGTTAATTAAATTGAGACTTTTATTATGACTTCATGAGTGTCCAAATGCATTAGAAACACGTGAAACACCCTCGATATTCTTTTTAAAAGTTTCTAATTCACGACCACGTCGGGTTACGACAACTTAGTCGGGTACGACCATAAGCTCCATTTAACGTCGGTATCGGGTGGATTTCCATCGGGCCACAAACTCAAACCCTATATAAGGGTGAGTGGACCTTCATTTAAAGCTTTTTCACTCTCTCTCACTACTCTCTCTCTCTCTCTCTCTACAAGCCAAATTTTGATCCAAAACCACCCCTTTCAAGCTCCAAATTGGTAAGTGATTTATCCTAGCTTATAGTTTAGCTTGTTCAGCATACAAAACCGTGTTTAAATCATCCAAAAGTACCAAAAACTTGTGTTTACAGTCTAGGAACAACCCCAAATTGCAAACACCCATAAATGGGGTTTTGAAGCCCCAAAACCCTTCCAAATCACTTCTGGTGCTTAGCTATGACTTAAGGACTTACATGTACGAGCTTAGAAAACCAAAAACTTGTTATTTGGGGAGTAAACATAAGTTTACGGCCCAAGATCATTCTTGGACCGTAAACCCTCCTTCTTAGGCTGTAAACACCATTTAGGGTATTAAATTTCCCCTTAAACACCTCCTATGGCTTGGAATAATGTCTAGAACCAACCACCATCGAAGTAGCGACCTTAAACATCAAGGAAACAATGGCCTTAGGAGATTAAGGCCGTAAACCTCCCAAGGAATGGTCCCTTAGCTGTAAACTCCTCTAAAGAGGTCAAATGGTTCCCTAACTTCCTTCCATGGCATGTATATTACACTAGAATCGTATGTGCTTAACCTAGGACCATCAAAACACAAAAGGAAAGAGCAAGTAAGAGTTTACGGGCATAAAATCTATGTTTACAGCCGTGAACTCCCCAAAATGGTCCATTTTATGATTTAATTACTTCCTATGCCCTAGTATTGAACCTAGCCTAATTCCACTAGTTTTGCAAGACCTTTAAGCATCCAAGAACACACCAACCATGAGTTTACGGCCATAAACTCATGGGGATATGGTCATTGGGCCGTAAACTCTTCTAAGAGTTTACTCTTGAAGATCAAACTCCATATTTAGACCCTACACCCCCTTAGATGCAACCCGTATCACTCATAACAAATAAAATAAAGTGATTTTGCGTCTCGGGGTATATGTAACGCCCGTAGATCCGGGCTAGTCAATTTAGAGGTAATAGGGGTCGAAAATGAATTTTCGACAAAAGATTATTAAGAATAAATAATCTCAACCGGGTTTTAATATATGTTACAAGGTTTCCGTACATATAAAGAGCGTCGAAATCCGAGTTATAACGAAGAAGTTATGGCCCGTCGAAGTTTTACGGCAAAACCGGCACGGCACCAGGAGACGTAAATAGTGAATTTATGATAGAGCTTCTTTTAGCCTTAGTAATATAAATGAAAGTCGTAGAATATGTTAACCTGAGAGCGTCCATAAAAAGAACGCCCAAATCTGACTTCTTATGAGGAAGTTATGATTTTTCGAAGTTTCGGCTTAGCGGTGTACAGCCCGAAGTTCGAGTATTAGATCGAGCGGTTTTTAGCCGACACAACCTAAACGAGAATCGGAGATCTCGTTATTATTAGCGTAAAAATAAAAAGACAAACGAAATGGACATCGGATCAAGAAGTTATGATATTTTAACGGACTAATCCTGTCTCGGCCTGTTAAAAATATAACTTTAAAAATAAAGTCAAAATTAGCCGACGGAGTCTAAATGAAAGTTGTAGAGTACATCTCCACCTATGTTTGGATATAAATAACGTCAAAAACAGATTTCGTATGAAC